CCTCCCTCTCCCTCTCTCCCTCTCTCCCTCTCCCTCTCTCCCTCTCCCCTCCTCCTCCTCCATTTTCTGCCATAAAAGACCCCTGCATTGCTGTAGAGTCACCTCATCAGATGTGTTCCCTGGACTTTGGACTCTGCACTGTTGCTGTGACTGAACCCGCCATTTGCTTTCTTGCTTCCTGTCCTTTGCTCAAGCTTTTTCTCCTGCTTGAAACATTCTTTCTACTCCCGCACCCTTCTCCCCTTTCCTCTGACAACTCCAGCTTCTTTAGGCTTCAGCTTAGCTGTTCTTCTCTGACCACTGTGACCCACCTCTCCCTGGCATTGGGTTGGGTGCCCCTGTTCTGAGAGGCTTTCTTGGCACCCTCTGCATGCCTCTGGGGTAATGCTTTTCATATTGAATCGTGAGTGCTTACTTCCTCCTGTTTTCTTTGCTGCTTGGTTGCTAACTCCTGGGAGGCTCAAGAGCCTAGCACAGTGTCTGGTACAGAATAGACAATGAGTACAATGACGTAGTTATGAGCACAGACCTGGGAACCAGGCTAGATGGTATGGGCTTGAATCCTGGTTCCATATGGAGTATGACTTTAGACAAGTTTCTTAACCTTTTTGTTCTTCAGTATCCTCGTCTTTAAGTTGGGGAAAAGGAATAGTACCTCTCTCCATCGTAAGTTTGTTGTGAGGATTAGATGAGAATAATATATGCAAAGTGCACGTATGAGGGTTAGACAAGAGTATCCACTGAATGAGTGAGTGACATTGTGTCCATGTTAGGGAGTGTGGCTGTAGTGGGTGGTACCTGAGAGGGAGAAGCAGGATAGTGGAATGGTTGGTGGGACCAAATTGGGACCACATAATCTACTGTGTTACAGTACATTTGACTTTGTTCCTTAGACATTGGGAGGCAGTGAAAGTTATTAAATGATGACAAGATGTGATTAGATCTCTAGATTAGAAAGATAACTTTGGTGAGAAAGTGATAGATTGTAAGGAACCAGTTAGGAGGTGATAGTTATGACAAAGGATGGTGAATGGGGCAAAGACTGTGAGGATAGAGGTGGGAATTGATTCAGGAAACACTTCACAGGGGTAATGTCAGGGCCTGAAAGTTGTCAGATCTGTAGTTTGGATGTCAAGACCTATGTGTGATAATGCTATTTCACCATAATTAGAAATGGAGAGGGAAGAATAGCTTTGGAGGTGGGAGGGGAGAATTTTCCTTTGTGTGTTTTAGGTTTGGGGCTTATCCCAGGAGAGAGGGTAGCATATGGGTGTTAGCACACAGTGGGAGGGGTGGTATTGCCCAGAAAGGGTGTGCAGAGAGAGGAGGGCGAGTGAAGGAATCCTGGGGAACACCAACATTTAAGGCGGTGTTGAAAGCCTCTCAGAATGGAGCGAACAGAGGAGGATGAGAAGGAAGGAATGAATAGGGAGGTTGGAGGAGGTGTGGAGGAGAGTACAAGGGAGAGAGGGACTCTGGGTGGAGGAGATGGTTAACAGTTCAAGTGCTGCAGAGACTTCAGAGAAGGTGAGGCCTTTGAGTGGCAAAATAGTCCTGTAACTCTGACAAGGATAGTTTCAGAGGTATGAGAAGGGCAGAAGTCTCAGGGAGTAAATGGGAGGTAGGAAGTGGAACTGCAGGACAGATTGTACTGAAAAGCTTGGAAGTGAAGTTTCTCTTCTTACAAAATGACTATTATCTTCACTTCGCAAAAAATTGTGCTTCTCAAAATGCTTTCTTATTATTTCCTTTTTAGTCACTGGAAAGTTGACCCAGGGTGTTGGGTTTTAGTATTAGTTTCTCATCACTTAACACTGACCCAGTGGTTCTCAGCCTTGGCACTTCAGAAATAACTGGAGAGCTTTTAAAAAAATTCTGACGCTTGTGCTGCACCATAGAGATTCTGATTTAATTGATCTAGGGTGGGGCCCATGCATTGTGCATTTTTGGTTTTAAGCTCTCCTGATGATTCTAATCAGGGCAGAAAACCACAGCTGGCCATTCTATGGTGATACCTTGCTGCAGGTGTCATGTAGAAGATAGTAAAGTTACAGATGTGGTAACCAGGAACATCTACACTGTGCAAAGGGAGACGAAAGGCCAAGTTCTGAAAGACCATATTAAGCTAGTATTACACACTTGGAGCCCAGGTGTGGAGTTGTGAAACCGTGATGGTGGTATAGAGAGAGTGCATTAGTCCAAGGGACAAAAGTGTCTGGCCCTGTCATTGACTGAATCTCTCAGCCTTTCTCAGCCTGTTTCCTCATCAGTAAATGGGGAATTGGACTAAAAACCTCCAGTGGACATTTCTGCCCTGCACTTTAATATCTTGTTAATGTCTCTAGGTCTTGATTTTTAAATGTTTTCAAAGCATAACATTTATAAAATAAAATTGGAAAATATGGGAGAGTATGAAAAAGAAAACAAGAGCTACACGTAATCCCAGAAGATCAGGGTTTATCTGAATACTTCGATGTACAACATTCTGCTATAATTGGATACCTGTGCTTTTGGAAACCTCATGTTATAAAAAACTCCATTGTGAAAACAAATGTTTCAGTGGGAAAAAGGGGCCATGGACTATACCCACAGTAAAGAAATAATTTTTCTTATAGGAATTTTAATAAAAATGGCTTTTGTAAAAACAAACAAAAAACACTCCCCTACCACATATATACACACAGAGTAAACACACGAGCTGAACAAAATCTAAACATCCTTGAGCAAATCTAAGCTGGATGAACTATATCTAGCTTTTTTCAGGAGTGTGGACTTACTTTTAATTTCTCTATGACCACCAACACTTTTTAGCTTCATGTATGTTCTTAATACTGTTATCACTAATTTTTTTCTGAGAAACAAAGCAAAAGCCTCTCAAACAAAGCAGCCATAATACACACAAAATATTTTTTTTCTGAATGCTAATTCCAAACCTCTTTGCAAGTAAATTGATCATGTTTTATCCAATTAGGGTTATAAAAACTCATAAGAGAGATGCCTATATTTCTGTTGTTTCCAGATGTTTCTATCCTAATTTACATAATTGGCATGATTGTATGTATATAGTCTCTATCCTGGGAGCACTAGAGTTAGCTGCCCTGCTTTGAATCCCATTTCCCCCAACTCCTAAGTTCTGTGACCTTGAGCAAATGACTTAACCTGTTTTCTTGTAAGTAATGTGGGGATAACCATAGTACCTAAGTATAAAGCTCTAATAATGACTAAGTAAGACTTGCCCAGTGCCTAGTGATAAATGGTTGCCATTTTCAGCATCAGTATTTCATGAACCTTTCCCATGCTGCTAAAAAATGCTCTGAAACATTTTTTGTGGCTGTGTAATATTCTATCCCATGTATATACTATCTCTATAGAGTAATATTTCTCTCTTACTAGGCATTCAGACTGTTTCCAGATTTTTATTGTTAGATTAATTGCAGCATTACAGATGTGTGCTTGTGAACACACATAAATTTTTTTAAAAATCAGTGTGTACAACAAAATGGCTGTGGGTTAAAACTTTAGAATGAGATATTTATGAAGCTTTTTAGTTTCATTGGCCACATTATAGAAAATATAACAGCATGAATTTTTCATTTTAGAAAGTTGGAAGCATAGTCTTAATTACCTATTAGTTTTTTGGGGTTTTTTTGTCCTTTTGGAGACCGGCTGTACCGCACTCAGCCAGTGAGCGCTGTGAGCGCACCGGTCATCCCCATATAGGATCCGAACCCGTGGCGGGAGCGCTGCTGTGCTCCTAGCACCGCATTCTCCCGAGTGCGCCACGGGCTCGGCTCTTAATTACTTTTTAGTATGTATTAAATCCTCTTTGTTTACTGAAGACTGTTACACAAAGTATCCTGGTTCTACCCTCTAGAAGGCTAGAACTTTCAGGACAAGATGCAGAGATACAAAGAGACAAATCAAAAAGGCTCTTAAGGGATAAGGCCTCTAAATGCAGAAGGAAGGTGAGAATTTCACTCACCAGTGCTACTTCTGAGCCCCATTGCTAAATGTGGCTCCTTGGGTTGGTGGCTGGGAATTCTGAAAAGAAACTTAAGCAGTGGTGGTTTGGTGTTGATTATCCTTGGCCAGCTCTGCTGATAGTGATGTTATTCTTCCTCCCACCTCCTCTTTCCTCCATCCCTGCCTAGGTCACCACCTATTTGCACAAGGACTACAACAACCTGTGGATTGTCAAGAAACATAATACAAACTCAGGTAATGTGGTAAGGAATGGATGCTTCTTGTGTTATTATCTACTCTGTACCCTCCTTAACTTTTCTCGTGCCTCCATAGAATGATACTGAGATGGGCTGTCCTGAGCATTTTTGACAATACCTTTACTGATCTCAGTTATCTTTTCAGCAATTATGTATTGAGCACCTACTGTGTTCAACAAGTGGTGTTGTAGGCATAGGGGATAAGCAATGAGCCAAACAGGTAAGATCACACTCTTAGAGCTGTCATTTTGAAGCCAGAGAACAGGGTCATGGCTCAGACTTAATCAAGGAAGAGATCACCTGAGCATGCTACCAGGGGCTGGCAGTAGCCCAGACTGAGGGCCCTTGGCGGCTGCTCTCATCTCTACCATAGAGCATACCATGCCTTGCAGACCCTAACATCTACTGCAGCTCAAGATGTCTTGATAACATAGATTGCCCACTGCTTATTCCTGGCCTGGGGTAGTCAGTTAGAGATCTGAGGGTCTGCCAGCCCTGCAACTGGGCTAGTTAAGGCTGGTGCCTAGGACGTCACTCGATGCCTGCTGATCTGCCCTTACTGGCCTAGGCAAAGTAGGTCTGAAGCTACTCAGGGCTTAGGGCAGGAGCAGGAGCTCTATCCAGGTCTTCCTTTCCTTGGTCAGACAGCTAGCTACCTGAAGGCTGTGCCTCCTGCTGAAGCTAAGAAGAGAACAGAGGGCATCTTCCTTTCACCTTCCAAGCCTGTCATCACTGCTGATGGTCCTCTTTCACAGGTATTCTCTGTGACTCCTCAGCAAACACTACCTGACTTAGCTGTCCCAAGTCAGCTGCTCCTGAGCCTTTGTGGAGAAGTAGGCAGCTGCTCATCTAAATTCACCTTCTTTGTCCTTTCCCCACCTCCTCCTATTGCTGTTTTAGGCTAGAAATGTGACATACACAACCACTGTCTTTGCATCCTGTTCCTCAGTAACATAAATTGTGACGCCAATGGACAGGGTCTGTTTCTACACCCTTATAATACTAGTATTGATTGTGTTTTGATCCAACAGGCCAAACATAACAGTCTATTCCAATGAGGAGTTATGAGGGAAAACCAATTTTACTTCTAAGTCACATGGGCATGAATCAAATCTTTGAACATCCCTGGTCTATTATCACATTGTGGCTTCTAGGTTAAGATGGTTTCATTTCACCCGAGGGACTGAGGATTTGTTTTTGTGAAGGCAGATAGCTACAAGTGCTTTAGGATGTGGTAACTTTATAGACTAAGGTCTTTGTGTTCTTGATGGCTATAAATCCCCTTCCACCCAGTCCATATGAAGTAAAACTTCTCTCCCTATTGACTTATTTGATTTGTCATCTTGCTAATTAATCTTTTTAAGAGACCTTAAAAGGCAGTGTAGGAATGGGCATCTCTGCAGTTGAGTTCTGTAATTCTCTTGAGAGCCAGTGATTTGCACTGGCAAATTTATCTTTCCTGTCCACTGTTTGGGACAGAAATTTGCAAGGATCCATTCCATGTTACTGTGATTGCTGCCAGATCCTTTTCCATGTCGCTGCCTTTCTAGATCCTGATTGGTCTTGACAATCCAGATGAAACAGAAGTAGTCTCTTTCTTTCATCATTTCATCATTTTCTTCACCTCACACTCAGCATATAATCACTGGCACAATCTGTGGGATTTAACATTTGATTTTGAGGAGAGCCAGGCAAATGGTCATTTGCATGGAATGAATTTTTAGAAGACTATATTATTACTACTAAAAGGAAAATCTTATTATTCAGCTTCCCAGTCTAAGTGCCAGTGGGGGCTTCAGTGCCTGTTAGATAAAGGCCACATTTCCTAGCCCGGCACATGCATTCTGGCCCCACTTGCTCATGCCCTCATCTCCTGTTTCCACTCTTCTTCCTGTGCCACCATCCTAACCTTATGAAGCCATTTACTGTCAATTAAATGAGGTTTGTTCTTTCATACCTCTGTGCCTTTCCCCAACTTGTTCACCTGACAAAATTCTCCCTTTCCTTTAAGAGTCTTTTCAAGCATTATCTCTGGGACACTCTTCTTCAATCCCCTGAGACAGTTAGAGGCCCTTCAGCACAGTTAAAGGCCGCACAGCACTCTGTTAGTTCCTCCAGTATGTACCACCATGTGGTTCTGACACTGTTTACCAGTAGGCCCCCAGTAGATAATAGCCTAGTAAATGCATGATTTCAGATAGCAATGCTTATTTCTTCTTGGCAGATCCCCTAGACCCTTCATACCCAGTGGAGTTCGTGAGACATGGAGACATCATTAGACTGGAACACAAAGAGTAAGTAAATTTGCTATTTAGGATAAATGAGTGGCATGGGCACCAAGGGTAGGGAACTCTTTTGAGGAACAGAATAAACAGAAGTCAGAGGTGAGGCTCTAGTATGTGAAACAAAGCTGCCGTGCTAGAGTTATGGAAATAGGCCAGCTGTTGCCTGCCTATTTTGGCTTTGGGGAGCTTTGAACTTTGAGCGTATCTTTTAGTTTCCCTTTTCCTAGAGGAAAAAAGAAAAAAATTTGAGTTGCCCAAAGCTGCTTCTTTTTTTTTTTTTTTTTGGCTTTTTGTCTTTTTTTTCCGAGTCCGGCAACGGATCGCAACCCTTAGTGTTGCCCCCGTACCGGACCGGGGACCGGCAACGGGATCGCAAGCCTCGGTGTTGCTCCCGCGCCTCGCTCAGCCAGTGAGCGGGAGCCGGTCGGTTTGTGGGATCCGAACCCTCGGACGGGAGCGCCACTGCGCTTCCCAAGCGGCGCACTATCCAGTGCGCCACCGGGCCGGCCCCCAAAGCTGCTTCTTAAGTGGCTAGCTTTAGAAAGGTGTAGAAGTCTGTTTCTGAGATTATGGCAAGCTAGTTAACCAATGTTCTCACTGAAAATTGTTAAAAGTGCTGGAATAATAAAAAAACTTCTTCTTAGAAGCATAAAAAACCTGACAGGATATTAAAGAGTTACCTGGCCAAAATCTAAGTGAAAAGGGGAATCCAGAGAAATAAGTGAGACACTAAAGCCACTTTTGCCTTGATCCCACAATCTTGAGTTTGGGTCTTTTGTTTTACTGCTTCTTGAGAGAAGGGGTTTTAAAGTCGAAGCTGTAGGCTCCCCCAAAGTGGTAAATATATTAAGTGATCCTTCCCCAAAATTTGGAACCCCTAAAGGCTTAGTGTAAGGCTCTATCCACCTATCCCCAGAAAAGGTTACTTTGGTACTGAGCAAAGTATTTGGGGCTTGGGTAGAGAACTATCCCTGGTTCCTGAGAAGTTGTAACTATCAGTTGATTCTCACATGGATTTGAAGCTCAAATTTATGTCACCTGGGTGGTCTTCAAATTTTTAAGCCATGAATTTAAATGAACATGATCCTAGACTGGTAATATCTCCTAGGTGCCTTGCTAAAAGCAATACAAATCCTCTTTTGGGAAAAACGTTGTCAGTCCCATAAGTAGTTTTTCAGTGACAACAAATAGTACTCAGTCAAAAATAGCAAAGCACACAAGGAAATAGGGCATCCTGCACGAGAACAAGCAGAAACAATAGACAGCAGAAGCAGCCCAGCAAAAATTTCACACAGTGGAATTATCAGATATAGATTTAAAAAAAAAAAAATCAGGGATGTATTTATATAGAAAAGTAATTAGTGATAGTTTTGTTCTAGTCAGTTGGATTATGGGTACTTAAAACAAATTTTACTTATTGATAAATAAAATTTGTTTTATTAATAAATTTTATCTATTAATAAATTATCTATTATAAATAAATTTTATTTTTGCAAATTTCTAAAAATATTATAATGAACATTTATTACTTATTATGGATAAAAGTAAGAGTTGTTATAAATAGTTAAGAAAAGCTAACTTAAATCACTCTCATCCCCACAGATCCCCACTTTAAAAAAATTAATGATGGGAGTAGAAAGAGTAAGTGGGAGTGGGGAGGTTTATCTATCTCAGGCATATGTAGATTACAAATGTTAATTTTTTTCTCCCTAAATCTGCTTCGTAAGTCAAGCATGCTAAGTGCTTCAAAGCTACCAAATGTGTGAAAACCACCAACCTCACCCCCAGCACCTGAGCTAGCCTTTTTCTTGGCATGTGGTCCAGTGCTCTTACCATCTGTCTGTCTTGGTTTGGGCTCTTCTCTCTTCTCCAGATCTCTGGATATTTCTTATGGGTAAATAGGCAACAAGTTCCTGGTATGCTGGAAAGTTCAGATTCTAATTTTTCTCATCCTAACAGATATCTCTGAATATCCTTGGTAAAAGAAGGAACATTGCACGGAACATTGCACAACTTTTTTCTTTGGGATAACGGCACTTCTCTCTTCTAACTTCTAGGACGTCTCGGAACTTGCATAGTCACTATCATGAGGCCCCGCTGACCCGGAAGCACTATCAGGTCACTGGCTATGGCATAGTAAGTGAGCAGCTGGGGTGTGAGCAGGATGTAAGGTTGCGGGGCTTGACTCAGGGCCATATGGTGGGACATATCCTCCCCAGAATTCTGGAATGTTCCTAAGGATTGGAGGCTGCACAGGGACTCTCTTAACATTTGGTAGCTTTTTGGCTTGGCTTGCTGTGGGAAAATCAGGCTATGAACTCTGTTTGTCTCTCTCTCTCTTTGTGTAATAACCATACCATTTATATGTTCTGATACTTAATAAGTGTCAAATATGAATACTATTTGGGTCTCTTTTAAAATCACATTGGACGTAGAAGCCCAGGAACCACAGTAAGGCCCCAGATGAATATGTAAGTTTATCTTTTGCCAGATCCCAAATTCTCATTGGCTTTATTTTTAAGGACCACTTCCCTGTTCTGCAGAGGGACGTTACCCATGTAGCTTTTCTATTTTACTACCTCAGGGAAGACGCAGCTTATAGAGTAAAAGCTCTGTGAGTACTTATGGCTTGGGAAGTAATTGAAGACAAAAACAACTAGTGGAAAACTGTATTATGACTGTCATTTACATTCCCTTCCAAGGCCTTTGGTGTTTTGTTTTGTTTTTTTTCCAGTAAAAACTCTGGGTTCCTTAAGGTGGATTTCCCAACCCTCTTTCTATTTGCTCATCCCACATTGTACTATAGCCAAGACTTTAAGCTTCCTAATCTTTTTTCCCGTGGGCATCTCTGAGGAGAATTAGACACAACTGTCTTAATTTTCAAAGTGTAACATCCAGGCCAGACCATGCTGGCTTGGATGAGAGAGTATTCATATGGCAAAGTAATGGATGCAAATGGTCCAGATCTATTTCTGTGGGCTCATGGTGATGTTTTGAGTTTGGTTTAAGGGCAAAAAACATCTATTTAGTGGTTAAACTGTAGTCCCATAAAGTGAAGAATTGGACTTATGGCTTCAGGAATCATATTCCTTTTTTTGGTTGTAATAGTGCATGCTGGGGCAGTGTCAATCACATGGGATATTTCTATGGCTGCCTTGTTCCTTTTCCCATCTCAGTCATTGAGGCTGATTTGGTCTTTGATTGTTGTAATATGGTTGCATCAGAAAGGGTGGCCATTTCCCTTTCTGATACCTTTCCTCTAAAGTCATCTCACTTTCTTTGTATTTTTTTCTTGGTTTATGTGACAGAATGGGACAGGAGACTCAAATGATTTCTGGCGGATTGAGGTTGTAAACAGAAAATTTGGAAACCGGATCAAAGTGCTGAGAAGTCGAATTCGCTTCATCCATCTGATCACAGGTTGTGTCCTGGGCTCCTCAGGAAAGGTTCTGCCCAAGTGGTAAGTCTCTGGGGTTTTGATGTCCCATTTGAGGCTTGTGCTTTTCCTTTTACACTACAGGGAGTGTAGGAGAAGCTTATGGTTCCCAGTGGTCATTGTTCTCCTCATGTTTGCTTTTTCTTAGTGGTAGGTGGAGGTAGAAGAGGCATCAGGTGTATTATGGAGCACAGAGGTCCAGGGTAGCTTTGGTGTTTTATGTGTTCTAATATTTGAACATTCGTACATCTGGCTTGTGGTTATAACTCTCTGAGTCTATGTCTCTTTCTAAAATGCAAGTGCCATATGCTAGACTACTCCTAGGATAGTTGTGGAATATAAAAGTTTAAGGTTGAAAAAATAATGGCCACCAGGTTGAGAAGAGGGGTTCCACAGATTTAAGAGCAATAGACAGGGCTACTTTGTTGGATTTCAGGTCTTCCAAGAGATATCCATGACCTCTTTTCACAGGGGCTGGGAGCAGTTGGAAGTTACTTGCACTCCGTACCTAAAAGAAACCCTCAACTCCATCTGGAATGTGGAGGACCATATCAATCCCAAATGTGAGTGAGGTCATTTCTTGGGCTGGGTCTGAACATTTTTAAGAAACTCTTACCTTAGAAAAATAAACCTTCATAGACTCTGCTGTCACTTCATCTTATCAGTGCCATTTTCTACGTTTTTTAAGCCTAATCTCTTCATATGCATTGTCTGTATCTACATAGCTAGCTCCTTTTTTTCTCATCTAATTCATCCTTAAATTCCACTCCCTAAAGTGACCAATGACCATCTGCAGGTCCATCTGTTTCATCTCTTTGTGCTCTTTTATCCCCTGCACCATGGGTACCTCCTCACCATCTAGGCTTTGGAGCCGGCTGGTGCTTTCCCTTTATGCGCCTGTGTAGAGTTCCTCCTCTCCCCAACATCCAGCCAACACTTTTACATCAAGCAAGACCACAGCCTTGATCTGATCCCCACACTCCTACTGTCAGACTCCAGTGTGACATTTCCACTTCAGTGTCAATTTCAACTCAGTGAGTCTTTAGATTCATCATTTGTTTTCCTGATCTACCCCCTTTAAGCTTTTGCTTGATTTCTCCTTCTCTCCATGCTTTCCATTTTGTTCTTCTTACCACCTAATTAACTAATTTAAACAACTCTTTATTGAGTATGCCAGGAACCATGTGGGGCCCTGTGGCTGTAGTGGTGAGTGAGATAGACTTGGTCTGTGTCCTCACAGCAGCATTTGAGCCAGTGCCATGTTGAAGGATGATGGTGCCAAGGACTGTTGGAGGACCAAGGGGGGAAGCCTTGTCGTCTTTTTCCTCTGTGTTTCTCAGAATGCCTGATGAGGGCTTAACATACTAAATAACCCACCCTCAACACTCTCACCTACTTGTCAGGAAGACTACAGTTGGACTCTGGTGGGAATATGGATACCATGGACAGACAGACTTTGAGGAGAGAATGTGTGACAAAGCTTTCTCCTGCTGTTTTTTTTTCCGTAGTGCCAGACATCAGCCTGAATGTGCTGCAGCCCAGTTTTCCTGAGATCTTGCTGGAGTCCCACATGGTCATGATCCGGGTACTGCAGCCCCTTCTCATTCCATGGCTTCTCTGAGAGCACTTGGGCAGCCACAAGTTTGGATCACAAATCAATAGCCGCAATATAGATCCACTGCCTCCTTGGAGGGCTTTGAAAGTGTCTTCACTTACTGGTTTACTTGATCTTCAAAGATATTTCCCTTATCATAGAATGGAGATGATGGTGGTGGTGGTAGTGGTGGTGATGATGATGATGCCAGTGAACACTCATGCTCTTATGTGCCGGATACTACTCTAAGCACTGTATACTAACTTGTTTAATACTATTACAGTCCTATGGAGATTGTCATTCCCAGTTTACAGATAAGGGATCTGAGGCACACAGAGGTTAAGCAACTTGCCCAGGGTCACACAGCTTAGCGTAAGAGGTGGATCCAGGCTTCAGAGCAAGGCTGGCTGGCTTTCAGAGTCAGTGCTAGTTACTCCCACACTCCTTTTCCTCAAAGTGATTTTCAAATCTGTTAAGTGGAAGAGCCCCTGAAAGTCATAGTGCTCTTGGTTGAAGATGATGAGACACTGATAGTTCATTCCATCATATGAAATTAGGATCAGTTAGGATTAATAGCTACTTTGAGTGTGTAATTTATATGCAGCATAAAATCCCAACCATGAGCCCACTCATATTCCTGTACAGAAACTGCTTAGGGGGCATGGTTGGTTCTTTTTTAAGGTTTTCTAAGATTCATTATTTGCATTCTATATCTTAAGTAGCTGACAGTAGTTGTAGCATCAAAGGTGTAAGAAAAATTGAGAGAGGAAATCTTTAAGAAAATTTTACTCACTAGTTTAAATTTCCCCCTATGAATTGGGGAACCCATGCTGCAGTTTCAGTGTTTAGTGGGCTTGTGGAAAACCTATGTTCTGCAGGAATGATATTTAAAAACCATTGTATCTCAAGCCAGGTATGTGATTTTTCACTCCATTCACAGGAGTGCGGGAAGGTGTAGCAGTTATTACTTTTCCCCTGGTAAGCTACTATCAAGTGGACTTTCCTGGAAGTGATCATATAAGCAGTACTCAGTAAATATAGATGACTTATTTCACCAGATAAAATTTTAAAAATTTAAGTTTTGTTATTTTTGCACATTGGGAGGTGACGAGTTGACATTAAGCAATCTCTGGGTCACTTCTCTGACTCTCTGCTCGTAGCTATTGTTGTGGCCTGATGACATAGCTCTTTTGAGTTTGTACCTGTCAGAGTATCGTTCTGGGTCTGTGTAGAATTTTAAGACTAGATCCAAAAAGTTTTATTTCTTCTTTCATTATCTAAGAAGTAGAGTCAAATAAGAAAAGGGAAGTAAGGGAGCTTTCTTATTTAACTGATGGAGAGTCAGGGAGAGGAGAGAGATCAAAATAAGAGTCCAGACTACAGAAACTGTTGAGGAAGGGCTCTTCTGCCAGCTGGGTGACAGAGAAGGCTGGCTTGCCTGATAAGGTTAGCTGGAATGAGCCCATCTAGATTTCAAGCATAGAGAATAACTTACAAATATGTATGCCTATAATGGTTATGGACTTTCCCTTCCTTCCATCTCTTGGTTTAGTAAAGAAGCTGGATTCTCAGAGTTTAATGTAGTGAATAGGATTCCCTTGGCTTGTTATAGTTCTGGCTGGAGTCCCTGAGTTTGGGACTGAACTGTACTGGTCTGAAGGAATTGATTTTCCTCAGCAGCTGCTCTGGCATCTGGAATGATTCATTTCTCATCCTTAGGCCCTTCAGATGGCCACAGTGATTCAGGGGCTGTGCAGCTGGCTCCTTTGCATCTGACTCTCCCCCCTACCCCCATGGCATTTTGACCACTGGGGAGCAACCCAGCCAACATACAGAGGCCTGAAAACTGTACTCAACCCTTTGATAGTTGGATTAGTAAGGTACTGGTAGCAACCCACTGAACCAGACCTTCTGGATCTTTTTTGGGTTAGACCAGTGATTCTCAATTGAGGGCAATTTTGCCTCCCAAGGGATATTTGGTGATATCTGAAGAAAATTTTGGTGGTATAACTTGAGGGTTAGGGGGTGAGGATGCTAATGGCATCCAGTGAGTAGAGGCCAGGGATGATAAACATCCTACAATGCACAGGACAGTCCCTACAACAGAGACTTATCCAGCCCAAAATGTCAATAGTGTGAAGATTGAGAAACTCTGATCTAACTCATAGCACCTGACTCCCCTTCTGTGGAAATGCCTTCTTAGTTTGTTCTGATAATGAAGCTGACCCCAGTGCTGGTGGTTAGTATCCAGGATTTGGACCTTGGTCCTTACTTTTTTAGCAAAGCCCTGATTTTACTATGTAGAATATTCTTGGCTGCTGGAGTAGAGGGGATGAGTCTGGGTCCTTCAGGCTAAAGCATGTGTTGGGAGTGATTTCAACAAGAAATACGTTCTTGGAGGGCAAAAAAACTCACTTTCTTTATGTGTAAAGCACAGGTATTCATATAATATATAAACAGAAACGCAGTATAGCTATGGTATAAAAATGTCATGGAAGTCGTTCAGGAAACAAAAGTCTAAAAAGGCCCAGGGTGAGGGTGGGGGACAAAGTTCAGAAACAGTAGGCTAAAGTAACCTTTTCCATGTCCAGCAACCTATCAGACTTTTCTGCATTTATGTTTGAAACTGGCCTCTGCAGGGAACAAATAAGTAAACTCTGATTTTATATACCCCCAACCCCCACCCTCTTGATACTCTGTCCTTGGCTCAGCAGATGGGAACATATTTTGTGCCCATTGTTTTTTGGAGGGGGGGGGCTGGCGTGTATGGGGATCTGAACCCTTTGACCTTGGTGTTATAATACCATGTTCTAACCAATAAGCCAACCGGCCAGTCATCTATATTGTGCCATTGGAAACAAGTCCCTCATTCCTCTTTGTCTTCTTTCTAACATAGAGGGTGTGAAGGGACTAGCTCTGATGGGAAATGGAGGCTGGTTTGTTTGGAAGAAATAAGGCACTTGTAGGCAGATGGACAGTGGCTGAGAAAGGAGCACCTGATTCTTCCCTGCAAGGGAGTGAGAACAGAGAGGGTTCCCCTTGACACTTGGCCGAATGTGCCTCACATTTCTGACAGCCTCTAGATCTCTGTCTTGACTCGCTTTTCTTTGCCACTTTCCTGCAGGGGAACAATGGCCTCAAACCCAAGGACAACGAGTTCACATCCAAGCCCTGGCATTGGCCTATCAACTATCAGGTAGGGGTGAGGCTAGAGCTCCTCCCGGGAAATGGAGCCAAGGAGGAGACCATTGAGACTTGGTGGGGGTGAGATGTGCTGGGGTGGCAGGGTGAGGCCTCTCCTGGGATGCTTTGGCCAAGAGAAGGAGCTTTGTTTTCTGGCCTGAGTCTGACCCTGCCTTTCCCAGAGAGCTCATGTAGAATTTGCTTGTTCTTGAACTTCCTGTCCAGGCTTCCTGTCTGTGAAAGGTGGCCAGTCTTCCTTCCCCTAGAATGGGTGTGGCTGGGGATGAGGTGGGCCCCAGATCAGCAGGGTGTCCTCTGTTCCACAGGGCCTGCGCTTCTCAGGGATCAATGACACGGATTTCCGAGTCTATCTGCTAGGCAACCCGGTGAGTGCCCGGCCATTCCCAGCTTAGGCCCTCTAGCACTTGCCTGTGGAGAGCTGCTGCTTTCCTCTCATCCTCCTGTTCTCATTTCCATGCAGGTGGTTTGGTGGCTGAATCTGTTGAGCATTGTCCTCTACCTCCTCTCAGGGAGCATCATTGCTATAGCTATGCAGAGAGGGGCCCAGCTGCCAGCGGAGGTTGAAGGTCAGGTCCCCTGGGCTCTCCCTCCCCCAACCTAGCAACTGGCAGGATGCCCACACTCCAGGGAAGGGCCTACCTGCTGATGGTGCATCTTTTGCCTTCACCACCCCAAGCTGTCCTTTCCGCTTTGCTTTTGAAAGCTAACAGTCACCAGATACCCAGTGCTGGATTAACTACTCTGCATCCTCCTAGTGACCACATAGGGTAGGGTATTACTACCCCATTTTATGGATTAGGAAACCAAGGCACAATGAGATTAAGAAACTTAACTTAGGACATATAGTTAGTAAGTGATAGAGCTGAGGCTCAAACCCAAGCAGTCTGACTTCAGAGCCTTCTCTTTAACTGCTATGCTATATACAGAACTGTCTACCTTTTCTCTCCTGCCCCCTCCCTGTTCCATGGCCCTGTCCTCTAGTGGGATAGAGAGGAGCCTCCAGGGCACAGCAGTGGGTTCCTATCATTGAGCTGCTCCTGGTAACTTCAGCTGCCAGGCCATTGACCCCAGCAGCTGAGATATTAACACAGGCCCTTTCTGTCTCTGCAGCTCTCTGTCTGAACCTAGACACCCCTTCACTCTCCCCTCCATCCTCATCTCTGACCTCATCTTTGTCCCTGTCTGCTGCTGCAAAGATCTGTGTGGCAGCAAAGATGTGGGAAGTGGAGGTAGGGAGGGAAGCTGTAGGTGTGTAGGATTATGGTTTGGTTAGAGGCTGGACTGCCTCTTGCCTAGACACCAGCATCAGGCGTCCTACTGATAGTCAGTGCACCTGCCATTGGTGCCGAGACCTTACCAGGCCAGGTATTGTCCAGGGCTCTCAAGACTTAGTTGCTCCTCTTTTCTTCCAGTTGCCTTAGGGTTTATGTTAGTCCAGATGAGGGAAGGAAGGCTCTGTGAGGTGATGTGACTTATTCAAAGTCACTCAGCAAAGAAGGGGCAAAGCTGGACTAGAGCCCAGGATCTCTGCTCCCTCCTCCCTGTCTTCTGACTGGGGCTGTGCTTCTTGGGGCCCAGGGCTGTCCCAGGTCCTGCTGCGAGGAGGTGGTCAGGTCCTGCTTGGCTGGATGCTCCATTACTTCCCATTCTTCTTCATGGGCCGGATCCTCTACTTCCACCACTACTTCCCAGCCATGCTCTTCTCCAGCATGTTGACAGGTCAGCACTCCCCACCTGGGCTTGGAGATGAAGCAGAGGGCGGGTGGGGTAGGTGAGGCCCATGGAGCACAGTGCTCAGGGTGAATCTCTGCTCTCTGACTTGGGACGGCTCCTTTCTACTGTATCCCCAGAAGTCATTCTCTGACAGGCTGGTGCTAGGTTTCTCTTCTCTCCACTAGGCATTTTGTGGGACACCCTCCTGCGGCTCTGTGCCTGGGGCTTAGCTTCCTTTTCCCTGGCCAGGGGCATACACGTGCTGGGAATCCTGAGCCTGCTCCTGGGAACTGCTTACAGGTGAGCATCCCCCTGCATCTTGCATGTCCCCCCAACATGGACTCAGTTGTGCTTCATCCCTTGGGAATCCCCTAGAGTGCTTTTAAAGTGTACTGGTGCCTGAGCCCCATCCCCAGAGGCTCTGATTGATTAGGATGCAAGTGTGGCCCAGTCAGCCACAGTTTTCAGAGCCCCCCAGGTGACCCTAATGTGCAGCCAGGGAGGAGAAGTGGGGGGCTAACTCTTTGTATTCCCTTCTTTGCCAGTGGTTGCCAGCTTTTGTACCATCGCAGCACACCTGGACGGGCACCCGCTTTAGTCACAGTAGTCCCCTAACAGAACGGCTCTTAGTGGGGTGAGGGAGAGAGTGGGAAGAGTGGAGATGGGGAGGAGTGGTGTGACTCAGAATCATTGGAAGAAGAGTATTGTTTGGAAAACCCCTTCTCTTTCCCCCACTTCTGGCAAGTCTCACAGATCCCCTGTTGAGAATCACTGGCCTTTGTGGTGGATCCTGTGACCTGGGACCTGTGACCCTCTGTCTAAGAGGGTTAAATGCACATTTTAACCGACACTCTGGGCCAAATGGCCCATGACCAGACGCCTAGACGGGTCCTTCTCCTGGGCCTCTTGGGAAGAGTCCTGTCCTTTGTTGTCATTAAGTCTATGTCTACTAAGCTCTTGGTCTACAGTAGGCCCAAATGGCAAACTCAAACAGACATGGTAGTGAAAGAGGATGGGTTCTGTAGGTGGAGGATACTGATGAGCTCCAGCAGGAGGAACTGAATGCAAAGCTCCTCACCTGAGGCTCTGGGATGCCAACTGTCTCCCTCTGGATTCTCTCTCATAGCTTCTACCTCTTCCACCCTCTGGCTTATGGGATGGTTGGACCCCTATCCCAGGACCCCCAAAGTCCAATGGCAGGACTAAGGTGGATGGAATCATGGGACTTTTGAGGCCACGGCAAGGACTCCAGGTTGGGTCCAGGAACCGCCTAAGGACAGCCAGCTGTGGAGCCAGTCTCTGGACCCTTCTACCTGTGCAGGAAGCTGCCTGAGATGCCTGAAGAATTCTGCTGCCTGCCAGGACCGAGCTCTGGGAGCGAATCTGGAATTTAATCCAGCACTAGAGAGTGCCATAGCTATGTCTGCAGCACGTACAGAGGGGACAGAATCTCTCAGGCGCATTCCCTGAGTGTGCAGCATGAGGGAGGATGAGTGTAAAAGAGGGTGGGTGTGAGTGTGTGCATGTGAGGGTACATTTGCCCATGTCCCTATGGAATATAGACCATGTAACTGTGGACAGCTGAGTGTCATAAACTCTAAGAAATAACCCAGGGCTAAGTAATATTTCTGGCATTTTTTTTACATTGGATTTGGTTTGGGTTTCTCAGATCTGTCAAAAACTCTGACCTCCAAGAGGGTCTCGAGGGCTGAGAGTGCTGACCCCACCTTGGGATGTTACCGGGGGCGGAGCAGACCATCAAAGCTGTGCTGTCCTTCCCACTGAGGAGGAGAGAACGCCGCCCCAATGTGGAGGGCCAGCTCCCTGCTGCTTTGCTGCCAAGTGTCTTCTGTGGCTGCTGGTGGCTGGACTTTCTGCTTGCCATGTGCACTGGAGTCCGGAGTGAGGTGCCCATGAACTCATCAGCCCTTGGTTCCTTGTTCTCTGGAAATGTCACACTAAGATTGGTGGGAGGAACAGCATCCTATCCTTGGCTGCTCTGGGTTCCAGGCACCATTTCTTGCTGTCCATCCCTTTCCTCTGCATCCGGCCTGGCCATGAGGGCTGGGACAGATGCAGTCTCCTGATTGTTGGGAGAGCCTTTGGGACTCTTTTTTTTTTATAAGATGACCGGTAAGGGGATCTCAACCCTTGGCTTGGTGTTGTCAGCACCACGCTCAGCCAGTGAGCAAACCGGCCATCCCTATATAGGATCCGAACCCGCAGCCTTGGTGTAATCAGCACCGCACTCTACCGAGTGAGCCACAGGCCGGCCCTTGGGACTCTTTTTTAACAGCTGAGGTAGATGAGAGACAGAACAGGGAATCTGTGTGGTGCTGGGCTGGAATCCCAGTGGGATGCCAGGGTGTGGGTTACTCTGGCCTGTATGGACTAGTGTTCCTGTCAACTGCTCGGCTTTTCCCATTTTTACTTGTCTAGTCCTCCCCTGCTGACTCCTCCCCCGCAACACACACTGTCTTGGCATTTCCCTTTCTCTCTGTTACTGTTTCTCCAGTCTTTTTCCCCAAGGACCCAGAGCACCTATAAATGCATGGCAGCTCCTACTCTCCACCACTTTGACACTCAGACAGGAAGCTCAGAGCTGCTTTTTTCGCTTCCTCCCCAAAAAGGATTAAGAAAACTCTTAGGTCAGAACCAAACCCACCCAAGGCCAGTTGTTCAGCCTGCCTCCCTCCTCTCAGTGTATGACAAAATGCTTACTTTGTCTCAGAGGACTTTGATGCTTCAGGGTTTAATGATGAACCTCTGCCACACACACTCCATCTTCACTCCTCTGTAGTTCCCAACGACTATGACAGGGTCAGAGCTCTATCAAGCATCTTTGGGAAGTGGTTGCCACGGAGACTGAAAATTGGTCCCAGGGACCAACTGTGCTACCTACTGGGTAGTGGGGAGGGAAGCTTCTGGGCCATGCTTGGATGTTCAGACCAACCGTCATTAGTGTTAATGGAGGAAATGCAGCAATGTCAAAAGCAAGGCAGGTTGGTTAATTAGATTTGGGGCCTCATGACCTCCATCTCCTGTGGCTACAGCCCTCTTGACTTCCCCCAGCAGGAAGCGCTGCCTGTGTGCTGAGTCTAGGCTGCTTGCTTAATTGCGTTCCTGGCAGGGATGGAGAAGCTCTGCTTCCCCTTCCACCCCACTGCTCTCCCTCCCCTCCTTGCCACAGACGCTGTTGGTTTCTTCTGAACTGGGTGGGCTCTCCTTCAGATAGAATGCAAGAATCCATACTTGGTTCTTGGCAAAGAAGGTGGCTGGCCATCATGATATCCAGAAGGTGGCTGATTGTCCCTTGTGCCTTCTAATTGCCCAATAGGAACCTGTGGGAAGGGAGGAGCTCTCAAGGAGGCAGAGGGGGCAGCCACTCTGAGTGAGGGGGAGCCCAGCCAGCTTCCTGCCCATCTTGCCCTCCTAATTTGGCCACACTGAGGACAAAAAGTTCTTTGGTCACTTCCACTGCTTTCCAAGGATGGAAGAAGAAAAATTCCCTGTCCACTCTCTCTCCTGGCCCACAACTTCTCTGGAGACAAGGCCACATGGGTTGATGTGACTTTGAGTGTGCAGATTCTGTTTGGAAGATGCTGCGGGGAGAGGCTGTCAGGGTGCTCACCTGAATATGGGCTCCAGCCCCCAGGAATTGGCACAAATGTGACATGTCTCCCAAACTGCTGGTGAAGGAAGAAGACATTTATCAGTAAGCCTAACCTCCAGCTGGCTTCTTGAACCACGTTTTTTTTAAAAAGAAGTTTCCAGAAATAATTGGAGGCCATTTACTTTTGTAATAAATAGCTCTTATTTTGAATGCCATGTTATTCTTATTGTACTTAATTGAATCTGACTTGCCCTCTGGCTCCTGGAAAGGCCTCCCTAAGCAAAGAAGAATGTTTTGAGTGCGGGAATCATTCCATTGTGTCTCATGCCTGAGGTGTTCTAATTCTAGCAGAGGCCCTGGGTGGGTAGGTGAGCCTGGTTACCCCTCGGGGCATTTGGGCCTTCCTGTGTACATGGTGATGTGAGTAATATTGGTTGTTATTTTGATTTACTTAAACTTACTCCAAAGTAAGAAACTGGACCTCTTATTTTTTCCTCTTTTAATCTGCCCATACGGTATAGAAAGGAAAGAGATAGAGAAACAGTTGTTCGCTTCTGAGACAGCTGAATGGCCCGGCATTGTAGTAACTTGCCATATTACTTAACAGAGGCCCCTATCTTGACAGGGGTCCTTTGTTATAAGGAATGGTGTTAAGGATCCAAAGGAGGTTAAGAACTGGCTTGAATGTCGGTCAGAAGGTGGGGCAGGAGGGGAGTAGCACTGCACTGTGAAATTGGGGGTCTTCTGGGCTGCCTATCAGCCCCCCTTAGGCCCAAGAGTAGCTGGAAGTGGGGGTGTGTAGGGGTGGTGTGAGGGGGGAGTAAGTCATGTGAATCTTCAGAAGATGGAAAATGCTTAGGCAGGTTAGAAAAGGGCCAAATAACTCTTCATTAATGGCACAGCTTAGTTTACAGAGTCTCGACACATCTGTGATGTTTAATCCTCATAAAGGCCTGGTAAAGTCAATGATGGTTTTGTCCCTGTTCTATCCATGAGAGATTAAATTACTTGCCTAAGGTCCTACGATTAGTAAATAGTAGAGCCAGGACTCGGTGCCAGGTTGGTGTTTTTCAGCTTCTCTAGCCTGGTCCTGGGACTAGAAGCAGCTTCCCAGAACAACCTAGCAGCCCTTGATACTGTGAGAAGGTCTGAACACTGAGCTCAGAGATATTCCAATTCAGCATGTTTCCTGTACATTCTGCTTAATGCATCAGCAGCTCACCTAGGGCCCTGGTCTTCCTGGTTCCCAGTGGTGTGCTGGTAGATGTTTAACAGGTTTTCTGGGAGGAAAAAAGCCCTAATTTATAGCATTTGCCGGTTTCCATGGTGTAAATACTCCCACTATGGCCTGTTTCAAGCTACCAACTTGATGTCACTGAATGAGAAGTTGGAAAGATGCGTGTAATTGGCTCTTGCAAGCCATATGAAGAGCTGGCCTCCAGCACACCAACAGCCCAGAGCCACTTACCTTGGCTTGGTCTGGACTTGGGCACAGCTCTTGTCATAGCTATGTGAGGAGGCATGGAGACCTAGAAGACGGGCCTTACACAGTGTCTGAATATGAATGCTCAAGTGCTAGTTCTTTATTATTACTAATGATAAATCGACCTCGATGACAATATTGGTTCTAAAACAGTACTTGAAGTCTCTTCTAGATTATAACCTCCTGCTCAGGTCCTGGGGAGATGCTACCAATGGAGAGGAGTTGACTTTGACTTTTTCCTAGTCCATCAAATGTGGATTCAGACTCCTGGTCTCCTGGTTGGAATACACCACCCTGACTGCTTAGGCCCAGCCAGGTTCTCAGGCCTTTCTCAAAAGGGAGCAGAGATTAGAATGCACTTAGCCCTCTCCTCCTGCCTTTTCCTGCCTCTGGGAATGCAAAGAGTGAAGCTATGGCTGTGAGTGCTAACTCTAGCACTTACTAGCTAGGGCCATTAACTCCCATTAACTCTTCAGACTCTGTCCAAGGAGAAAGGAGGCAAGAAGGGTCCGAGTATAGACTGCTGGTAGGACATGCAAGCTGGGTGGAGTGGGGGGCCGTAGACTAGCCAGGTGGCCTGCACAGAGCACCCAGCATCTGGGCACTGAAGGGTGAAGGTCACCAGAAACACATCAGGCCTTTTCTTGTGATCTGCTGCACCTGGCTGCAGGGCCATGGGATCCCAAGCTGGAAGTTTAGTCCTTTCTCCCTTCAGCGCCATTCTTTCGTGCTCTTGCTTGAGTTCTCTTGGACTCTTTAGGGCACAGGTTTTTCCAGGGTGCCCAACAGCCCTACTCTCCTGCTCCAGCCCAGAGACACGTGGGAGATGGGGAAGAGCAGAACAGGATGTACTGCAAACTCCTGAGTCCTTGGAAGAGGGAGAGCACTAGATGGTTTCATGGGGCTTGGCTGGGAGCAGGGAAGAAGAGTTCTGAGACCCTCAGTCCTGATTCAGGGCCAGAGGAGGAGTTTTAAGGACAAGGATTCAACACTATGTCTAGCACAAGGCTGGGTATGGAGCCACAGCCTGTTCATAACTGATGGCCCAAGAACACCCACCTCGTATCCATGGAACCAAAGGAGGTGGACTAAAAGTCTCCTAGAGACCTTGCCACCCAACCCCCTTACTCTGCAGTTGAGGAGACTGAGGCCCAGAGAGAAGTAGACAGAAGACAAAGACTCAGAGACTCAAGAATAATGAAAGGTAAATGAAGGTGAAAAACCTTCTTTCTAAAACCTAGGCCACTAGAACTAGGCTGGGGCCTGAGAAACTTTCATACTTGAAAGAGAAAAGTTTGGTTCTAATTGGCAGGTGGCCACCTGCAGACCCTGAGTGGCAAGCATGAGATTCTGTTACCTGACCTTCTATTTAAAAAAATAAATAGTACTTCTATTTTTAAAAAACTGTCAATTAAAAATCATGCAATAGTAGAATGTCAGAGCTTAACTCCCTCAATGTCCAGCTAGTGCAATGCTCACAGCCACTGCATCTAAGATTCCACCCTGGCCAAGCACAGCTGGGATTAGAACTAGAGCTCACAGATTTCTAAAGATGGAGTTTCAGGAAAACCCAGGCCTGGCTGAGATGGCTGCGGTCTTGGCCTTGTCCCTAAGGCTGAGAACCCTGGTGGCCCCAACATGTGCCTTTGCCCCAGTCGGACCCTGCGCTGGGGCCGAAAGTGCCCCAGCCTCAGCTTGGTCACACAGGTAGGCGACCTGGCCACCACTGGCCCGACCTCGGGGTAGAAAGGAGACAACAATCAGGCATGATTTGAGCAGAGATCAGATGCTACGGGAGTGTCAAACTCAAATGCCTCTGGACAATGAGTGGCGCTTGTGGAAATGTGGCACAGGCAGCGCCTACCGAAGTGATCAAATTCAACACAGTGCCCTCGGGGCTCCTCCCCTCAATATTAAGTGGTAATATTATCACCAGTTTCAGGATGAGAAACTGAGGCCCAGAGAGGCTGGGCGATCTCTTTTAAGATCTCAAGCCCAGGCATTTCCCAGGCCACTAGGTCGTCCCGGGCCAGAACCGGTTGCGGAGGGAGCGCCTTGCTGGTCGAGAGGGGGGCGGGGGCCGCGGTTGCTTTAAAGCGCCCCAGCCCCGGCGGCGCGGGGCGGGGCTGCTCTGGGAGCTGCTGGGCGCGGGACGCAGCGGCCGGAGCGGGGTCCCCGCAAGCGCCAGCGGGGCCAGCACAGAGGGGGCGCCTCCACCTACTGCGGGCTGCGCGCATCTGTTCACCGCTCTGGCCGGGGAAGGAGCGGCTGCTGGACCCGGCTTGGAGGAGGCACGGGGGCCGTAGGGGGTGCGGAGTGACCGACGTCGCCGCGGAGATGGCGCGGCACGTGCGGTGACGGCGCCCGCGCCCGGAGGGTCCCAACCCTGCGCCCGGCGTCTCCGGGAGAACATGGAGCACCCGGAGCCCGAGCTGATCCGGCAGAGCTGGCGGGCGGTGAGCCGCAACCCGCTGGAGCACGGCACCGTCCTGTTCGCTAGGTGAGGGTGCCTCGCCGGGAAGGGGTTCGAGGCGGCTGGCCCGGCGCCCTCAGAGGGAAAGCTGGCCCGCTGCCGTGGCTCTGGGGCGCCTGCCAGATGTGCGCCAGAGAAGAGGGGCGTGGTGACCGGTGGCGCAGCCCTCTCTGCTGATCTCCAGGCAGTGGCGAGTTGTATGAGCCCGCGCCGCACACCGGCTCCCAACTGGGCTCTCCGGGGTTGGGCGGGGGTGCTCTCCGGCGAGTCTCCTGACTCTCGGGCGGGCGGACTCCGGTCCTCGCGCTGCGCCCCCTCCTCAGCCCTGTGCTTCTTGGGTGTTCCTTGCGTGGTGACTGCAGGGGTGCCCACCGCTGCCGGCAGGGGGAGCCTGGGGTGCCCCGAGGGCCAGTGCGGGCTGCCTGGCAGGGGGGCGCGTGTGGACGGCTGTGCACAAGGTCTGGGACCTAAGGAGCGTGCACTCGCAGCAACCCACAGGATAACCTTTCAGAGGAAAGAACCAGTTTAGGACCAGAGAACGGCCAGGAAAGGGATGACAGACGTCTGAGTCTCACCCCGGGGAGAGGGGTAAGAGAGTGCAAAGGCCCCACGGGGAAGGGGAGGCCAGTATAGAACCTCACCTTGGCGGTCCCCCGGTAACCCCTCTGCCATCGTCAACGGGGCAACGTCTCTCTCCATCGTGGTTTTTTTTTTTTTTTTTTTTTTTTTTAGGATTCTTGGCTCCCTAAGTCAGCCCAGAACTTCTGGCCAGGCTTTTGCAAACCTCCCCCAAGACAAAAGGGGAATAAATTCAGTTTTGGAAAATCCCAATGAGCACCCCTCAAATGTGGCTGAGAGCTTCTGCTGTGCCTCCAAGTTTTTCCCAAGCCCACTCATTTCTCAGGCACCCACTGTGGCTCCACTACTTCCAAGCTGTGTGACCTTAGGCAAGTTACTTAACCTCTCTGGGCTTCTGTTTCCTCCTCTGTAAAATTTGGGATAACAGTTGTACCCACTGATAAGGATTGTGAGGAATACGCAATTACACGTTAATCACCTATAAAGTACTCATTGCTCAGTAAGTGTAAGAAAGAAGTTTGTTTTGTTGTTGATATTATTATCATTGGTTGGAGCCCCCTCAGACATGATGAAACTGGGAAGTTCTGACCCAAGAGCAGGAGAGAGAGAGATTGAGAGCGAGAAAGAGATTGTGTGTGTGTGTGTGTGTGTGTGAGAGAGAGAGAGAGAGAGAGAGAGAGAGAGAGAGA